GGGTGGCCAAACACGTGATGTCATAAAAAAAAAATTAGATTCCCCACATCGAGAGGAACCCAAATCACCCCCATATATATGGTCCGATTTTGTTTAGTTTAGGAGTTATGATTTTTTTTTTCGGATTTTTCGAGAATTTTTGAGTTCTGTGTTTATTTTTACCATAACTTCGTTAATAATTGTAATAAATGCCTGCTTTTTTCACGATTATGTAGCTAAGACCTAAGGCTTAACTATCATATAATCATTCAAGTCATGTAACTAATACTACTTTTTAATTTTTTTCAAAATCTTCGAACATAACAAAAAAGTAAAAAAGTGCAACAACTTTGAACGTTTATAAAAAATTGAAAAAACATGTTCTTACTATTCGTAAGTATCTTAAAAACTTCCTTACGGTATCAGCTATTTACCGTAAAAATTTCATCAACCTAGCTTTACTACATGCTACCGTAATTGTGGCTCAAATAGAACCGAACCCAAAATTGGATAACCCTCTGCTCAATAGAAATTGTTAGTTTCGGAAAAAAAATTTGCAAAAACCACAAAAACACGTTTGATTTTTACTGAACAGCAGATTATTATTCATTTATGTTATTTACAAGAGGTTTTCAAAATGTCTGCCTCTAACAGAAATGCACAGTGTACACCTACGTATGAAATTTTGTTTTAAATCTCTAAATGCTTGTGTGTTGTTTTTCAACACATGTGTCGCTTCTTGAATTTTGTTCCTCAATGAATTTTCATTTGCACATTCTTGGGCGAATGTTATGTCTTTAAAATATCCCCAAACAAAAAAATCAATGGCGTTGAGGTCAGGGGAGCGTGGAGGCCATCGTATCGGTCCGTTTCGTCCGATCCATCTGTCTGGGAACCTTTCGTTTAAGTAGTTTCGCACGATCGTTGCGTTGTGGCATGGTGCACCATCATTCTGGAACACCATGTTCCGTCTGGCTTCCAGGCTTGAATCTTCCAGCAATAATGGTAGGCTATTTTCAAGGAAGCTTTTGTAGGCTACCGAATCCAACCTTGACGGCAGTTCAAATGGACCGATAAATTCCATATTGAATATTCCTGACCACATGTTCACACTAAAACGGTGTTGAAATGTCGACGGCCTTGACTGGTGGGGGTTTTCAACAGCCCAAGTATGTAAATTATGGATATTGAATATCCCTGTTCTTTCAAAACGTGACTCGTCAGTCCATAAAATTTTATCATAAAATCGGGATCCTCTCGTTGTCTTCGCAGCATTGTCTCGCAGAAATCCACTCTTAACTGTTAATCTGAAGGCATCAACGCTTGAACTCTTTGAACATGATAGGCATGATAACCTTCTTCATGAAGAATATTTTGTATCGATGTTCGTGGTATTCTAAGGTTTTGTGCCATAGATCTCGTACTCGTTGAGGGATTCCGGCTAATTTCTTCAAGTACTACTTCTCTGCGATCCGGATCAGCTGTCGGATATCCTTCATTGCTTCCTCGTCCTGGAATGCGGCCTGCCATGAAAGTGTTATGTGTGTTAATAAAAACACGGTGGTCTGGGTAATGCTCAGGTTGTGGTCCGCCTCGGCGTATAAGTTGTTCCCGGTACAGCTGAGCTGCTAAAGCGCCGTTGTCTTGAGCAACGCCATAATAATAATCCATCGACATTTCAACACCGTTTTAGTGTGAACATGTGGTCAGGAATATTCAATATGGAATTTATCGGTCCATTTGAACTGCCGTCAAGGTTGGATTCGGTAGCCTACAAAAGCTTCCTTGAAAATAGCCTACCATTATTGCTGGAAGATTCAAGCCTGGAAGCCAGACGGAACATGGTGTTCCAGAATGATGGTGCACCATGCCACAACGCAACGATCGTGCGAAACTACTTAAACGAAAGGTTCCCAGACAGATGGATCGGACGAAACGGACCGATACGATGGCCTCCACGCTCCCCTGACCTCAACCCCATTGATTTTTTTGTTTGGGGATATTTTAAAGACATAACATTCGCCCAACAATGTGCAAATGAAAATTTATTGAGGAACAAAATTCAAGAAGCGACACATGTGTTGAAAAACAACACACAAGCATTTAGAGATTTAAAACAAAATTTCATACGTAGGTGTACACTGTGCATTTCTGTTAGAGGCAGACATTTTGAAAACCTCTTGTAAATAACATAAATGAATAATAATCTGCTGTTCAGTAAAAATCAAACGTGTTTTTGTGGTTTTTGCAAATTTTTTTTTCGAAACTAACAATTTCTATTGAGCAGAGGGTTATCCAATTTTGGGTTCGGTTCTATTTGAGCCACAATTACGGTAGCATGTAGTAAAGCTAGGTTGATGAAATTTTTACGGTAAATAGCTGATACCGTAAGGAAGTTTTTAAGATACTTACGAATAGTAAGAACATGTTTTTTCAATTTTTTATAAGCGTTCAAAGTTGTTGCACTTTTTTACTTTTTTGTTATGTTCGAAGATTTTGAAAAAAATTAAAAAGTAGTATTAGTTACATGACTTGAATGATTATATGATAGTTAAGCCTTAGGTCTTAGCTACATAATCGTGAAAAAAGCAGGCATTTATCACAATTATTAACGAAGTTATGGTAAAAATAAACACAGAACTCAAAAATTCTCGAAAAATCCGAAAAAAAATCATAACTCCTAAACTAAACAAAATCGGACCATATATATGGGGGTGATTTGGGTTCCTCTCGATGTGGGGAATCTAATTTTTTTTTATGACGTCACCTGTTTGGCCACCCTGTATATATACAGAGTGTTTCAGTTTATTGTTGCATAACTTTAAGACTCGATAGAACTTTTAAAATTGATGCACAAAGTTTATATAAACATGGGTCGAAAAATGCATGGCTTCCGAAATACAGGGTTTTTAAATTTACTTTCTAAAACAGTTTTTTTTAATATTTTGAACACTATTTGATGTATAACAGTGAAAATTGATATACAAGGGTTTTTTGGTACGACAAAACGAACCATGTGCATAGTTTTACTGTAGCCGTTAGAGGGCGCTCTCTACTGTACCTGTAGTGTATTAAAATGACCGAAAAATTTTTCTTAGTGCAACTTTTTGCTTTTTGAATGAAAAAACTGATTCTTCGCACTTATCAACATAAAAAAGCTCTCTTGTGAATTTTCGTTATAGTTAGCCGTTTTTGAGATATTTCGATTTTTAAGGTTCGATGCATTTTTAATTATTTATGATAAAATAACGTTAAAAAGTCAGTATCTCGATAATTTTTAGAAGTAGGCTGTGCCTGCAAATACTTTTGAAATTGAAAGCAGAATAAGGTTAAACGTCAATTAGTTGACAGTTGACAGACAACAAAACTGTCTGTTGAAACCTGAAACGTTTTTTTGCAATTGTGAATGCGCGAAATTTAGTTTCTTTTACCTGTTTTTTTTTTGTAAGTTTTATAAAAATGCCATTTTTATTCTCCAATCAAGAGTTAGCGGATATTCATTTTGTGTATGGCTTTATAAATGGAAACGCAACAGAAGCAGCCAGAGAATACGCACGAAGATTTCCAAACAGACGACATCCAACCCGCTCAGTATTTGTAAGAGTGCATCGCCAAATAATTGAAAATGGTTTTGGAAATCTCCAAAGGGATCAAAACATAAATATTCGTCAGCGCAGATTTACCCGTATGATTCTGCGTGAGGTTGATAGAGATCCGACCACAAGTGTTAGGAGAGTTTCTGGTGCCTTGGGAATTTCAGCAAGCCATGTTCACCGTGTTCTTAGAAATGACCATAGGACGTCCTTACCATTTGCAACCTATGCAAGGACTACAGCCAGGGGATGGAGAACGGAGAATTACATTTTGTCAGTGAATTCATGATAGAACCGATAATAATAGGGAGGGATATATATATGTAAAATGTCAGAGATATCATTTATATAAATAATAAATAGTAACGGCCCTAATTTACTCCCCTGTGGCACCCCTACTGATATATTTTGAACACTTGACATATTTCCAACTTTAGTTTTTTGACTTCTAGTTACTATATAATTTTGTAAAATGAGTATTACTGATCCTTTAAAGCCATCGTGACGCAATTTCATTCACAATTTTTCCCTATCTATAGTCTCAAATGCCCTTTTGAAGTCTAAAAATATTGTTACAATATATTCTTTCTCATCCAAACTTCTTCTCCAGTCTTCCACCACCATTTTTATTGCCGTTTCTGTGGAACATTTTTTTCTAAATCCAGCTTGATTTTCTATCAATATTTTGGTTTCTTCAATGAATTCTATGATTTGTTCGTATATTATCCCTTCGAACAGCCTCTCGACATCGGGCAAGACATTAATCAGTCGCACATTTGTATACAGCTGAGAATTTTGAACTTTTGGCACAGGAGTAATGGTGGCACACTTTAATTTTGATGGGAATTCACCATGTACTAAACGATGATTCACCAATATTAATAATTTCTCTCCAATTATATTGAAACAATTATTTAGAATATTTTTTGAGAGATTCTCACTGGGATTTTTATTAGATTTCAAGTTTGAGATAGCTTTTCTTAGATTGATGATGTAAATTTTCCTAAATTACTTCATTGATGAATTCTGACATACTTGTAATGGACATAAGTTTGGATCACCGTCATCAATCGTCTTCACTATTTGATTTATACTTTCTATAAAATAAATGTTCATTCTTTCTGTTATAATTAATTAATTTGTCTGACACTACCCCATCTTCGAAACGCATTTTAGATAATTCAGTATTTCTATTAGAAGAAACAATATCCTTTAATGTTTTCCACATCATTTTAGAATTATTTTTATTGCTATCGATCTTCTTATCATAGTATTTTTTCTTGTCCCTCCTGAGAACTGCTACACACTATCTTCTCCAGTGGCCTGCCATCTCGGAGTATAACCGCGGCTTGACTTTTGAAATACCAAAATTTCGTGTTTCGTTTTGGAAGAAAAAATATGCACCAAGATATTATCAAGATCATCTTTTTATAAAAACCTGTCTATATTTTTTATTTTACTTACGAGGAAGGAAGAGTTTGCTGCAGTCACTGTACCATGAGGTTTGATAAAAGCGGGTTTCAAAGTGGCCATTCTCTCGATGGGAGATACTCGTACACCGTTATCGTGTGTGATTGGCTTGGTTGATCCAGGAACTTGGACCGGAATCAAATCGGTCAAATATCCTTTGTCCTGTGCCTGTTTGGCCAATGTGTGCGACCTAACTGCAAACTCGTCTTGTTCCATCCTTATTGCACCAAATGCTGCTGCTAACCTGTAGAGGGAGTCATATTTTGAATTTGAATGTTGTACAATTAAACCTTCATCCAATGGATGAAAAGTATTTTATATCAAATTTGATATGTTAACATCGCGGAAATGGTACTTTTAAACCCTAAAACAGAATTACCTATCAGCCGAGTGTCCCATAGTTTCTCCAGAAGAAAATTCGGCAACAGCAGGCAACTCAGGAACAAGGAAATCAGGTCTGATAGACGCCAAGAGAGCGAGTTTTTGGCCAGCAGTTTTAGCTTTGTTGGCTCTCAACATCAAGCTGCGCATTTTACGACTGTGCCTGATCGGAATTCTACACCTCCACATACGATCATATCATAGACTCCACTGTTGATTAAACCAATAGCTAAAAAAATAACGGCATAAGAAATATTTTTTATCAATAGCATGGATTGGTGATTATCCATTGGAGGCACACAAGGAAATTCGAAAAATTGTATAGTTGTCCTTGTTCTCAAAGCAATAATACTATAACTAAAAGCTATCTGATGAAAAAAGTTTACAGTAACATTGTTCTTAGATTTCAAGAGAGCGTTTGAGACTATTGACAGGGAGAAATTGTTAACGAAATTGCATTGCTATGGATTTCAAGGTTCAGTATTCAACTTATTACAAAATTATTTAATCAATAGAAGTCAAAGAACTAAAATTGGCAATACATGATCAAACATTAAAAACATTATGGTAGGTGTGCCACAGGGTAGCAAATTAGGCCCATTACTATTTATTTTATATATTAACGATAATCCTGATATTTTACAACACTGCGAAATTCACCTGTTTGATGATGATGTACTAATATATATATATATATAGGTGAAAAATTAAAGCTTCCGCCTTTTGTTGGGTACTTCGACAAAATTTAAGCAAAGAGGACTCTTTATACTTTTTTAATTCTCTCTAGCTTTCAATGGACTTTGCCATCATCATCAGGAGAGTAGTATGTGAGGATGTTGCTAATTGTTGTTTACGTATAGGATGAGGGAAACGTCCAGTAACATGGTGAGAGCTGGATACATGGTACAATGGTCAAAATTATATAAAATATGACAAGAACAAGTTAAAGACAGATTAAAAATTATTTAATTTTAATTTAACTTGTTCTTGTCATATTTTATATAATTTTGACCATTGTACCATGTATCCAGCTCTCACCATGTTACTGGACGTTTCCCTCATCCTATACGTAAACAACAATTAGCAACATCCTCACATACTACTCTCTTGATGATGATGGCAAAGTCCATTGAAAGCTAGAGAGAATTAAAAAAGTATAAAGAGTCCTCTTTGCTTAAATTTTGTCGAAGTACCCAACAAAAGGCGGAAGCTTTAATTTTTCACCTAACTGGTATATATATATATAACTTGAGACGTGGTCATTGTTGTCTAGACCAGTTAGGTGAAAAGTTAAAGCTTCCGCCTTTTGTTGGGTACTTCGACAAAAATTTAAGCAAAGAGGACTCTTTATACTTTTTTTATTCTCTCTAGCTTTCAATGGACTTTGCCATCATCATCAGCAGAGTAGTATGTGAGGATGCTGCTAATTGTTGTTTACGTTCAGGATGAGGGAAACACCCAGTAACATGGTGAAAGCTGGATAGATGGTACAATGGTCAAAATTATATAAAATACACACAACTGTGTGACAAGAACAAGTTAAAAACAGATTAAAAATTTTCAGAACATGAAATCATTAAAGCTGGAGAGAATAAAAAAAGTATGAGACCTCTTTGCTTAAATTTTTGTCGAAGTACCCAGGCGGAAGCATTAATTTTTCACCTATATATATATATATATAATTAATTGTTAATTGGGAAATTGACTAATCTTTTAGGCTTAAGTTGACTCCTTTGACGATAAAATCAAGCTTTCGGCATTATCTATGGCGCCTTCATCAGGATTTCGTCGTTGAGGTTGCAGCCACAAGGTGTTTTAAAACGAACGTAGAGAAGATCGAACTTGTAATCAGTATAAAAACAAAAGGACGGGGATATTGGGCTTGTTGAAAAACGACAGATACCTTCGTTACATGTTAACAATATCAATCCACCCGAACAAATTAAAAAGTATTACACGTGAGAAGACATTTTGGTGAAACAATCGGAATGCAGTCTCTCTAACCTTCTACTTCCGCTACACGTGTAGCAATTGATTAAAAATTTTTAAGGGAATGACCTTGGGGGGCCGAGGGTGAAAGGGGATGAAGCAGTTTTTGTTTAAAAAGTTTTCCCCCTTGGCAAATCTTTCGACGTATCTCGGCGTTTTTCTTTTAATCAGTAGTTTTCAATAAATCCGTGGTAAGAAGTTTTCAAATGAACACCCTGTATAAGTTACCTTGTATTTTGTATTGTTTTGTTCTTCTCATGCTATAGTATACATCGTATACAGTTCCGCACTAGTGGTTAAGTGTAAGAATAGCCCACGGCTAAACTTCGCCACTGATGTTAGATCTGTATGTGCTTGCATGTATTTAAAAAAGACGAATTTATTATTATTGTATGAAACTTGTTTCCGATTGGTAGATTTTACGCCATAGCCGCAATTTTTGTTTTCGATCTCAATTGCAAAAATAGGTTTTTGTAGCTAAGCCAGGTGATTCATGAGGTATTTCTTGATTTAATATGTAATCGGGATTTTTTTCTAGTTTAAGAGATATATCAAAAGAATTCGAAACCATATTTATTAGATCCATTATTTCGAAAAACACCCTCCACCCGAAGAGGAGTAAGCTTATGTCCCGAATTCTTTGTTCTCGAGGGATCTATCATCATTAATTTCTTTGTTAGGGATGATAACCAACTTCGTAGCTTAAGTGTGGAAACATGTGGACATTGATAAGACTAGCGGGTGGTACCACCTCGGTCGATAGCCGCAAATATTTTGTCCAAGTACAAATGAAAAAATAGCTTTTTTCTCTCTAAATTAGGTGATTTATGAAGTATTTCTCGATTTAATATGGGAATTAGAGACTCGCCTTTCATAAATCGTATAATTGTTCTCTACATTGAGAAATATTTTACAAGAAATGCACTACGAGTATATTCGTTGGATTCGGTACCTCAAAAATACCTTCTCATTGATCGAGTTTGTGCCCCGTCATTCCCGTACTTCAGTTCAAACTTTATTTAAGGATTTTTTTATAAATTGCAATTCTCACCATTCAGGATACTGAAGTACCAGGTCAAGACAACACAACGAACATATCGACCAGCAACCGTTCAAGCGACTCCTCAGACCTTTCGGAAGGCTCCAGCAGCAGGCAGTACCGGAGGAACTCGGCGGACGTTGAGAGCGAAGTTTCCGAGGACCAACTCCTGTTGTGGGACTCCCAGAAGAAATACTCGAGAAATGAGGATGTCCGAAAATCGAAGTCGCTGCTGCTCAGACAGACGATTGTCGTACATTCTCCCGAAATAGTACTGTAGGTCGTACCCTTTAGATGCTTATTTCGATGTGATGCGCTATGTGATATGCACAAATTGAATGATAGATATGTGTCGGGTCGGATATCAAGGTAATGAGGAATGGTACATCATACAAAGCAATTTCATTAGACGTTACAGAAGTTCAAGCAGTCATTCACGCAACAGTTTTTTCAAAATGCCGCTGATTTCAAAATTACATGGGGCGATAAACATCCCAGTGGACATGGTGACGATATAAGGTATTCATTTTTAGGTCGCTACTGGCGTACGCCGACCAACAAAAATGACGTGTAAATGACTTCATGATGACGGACTAGCGTCACACCCAATTAATTGATGTCAGTATATGACGTCATACGAGTAGTATGTCTTATAAAAGACCAAATTCAAAGTCGATATGACGTCTATCTGAGGTCGATATGACGTCGATGTGGGCCGATCAAGTATTACGTAAGCAGATTTATTACAATTATTTACCCCCCCCCCCCCCCCCCCCCCATCCCCCTTGTCAGCAAAAGTAAGCAAAGCATTTACCCCCTCCCCCCATGCTTACCTAAACATTTGTCAATTGATGTATTTTTTTAATATTATATTTATAACGTTATAATTATAATTTGAAAAATAAGAAAATAGATTTAGGATAGAGATTATATTTTACTGATACGGTATTCAACATAGAGTAAAGGACAAACATATTATATCTTACTAACATAACAAACTTATTTTAAATTTTTGGTACGTATATTAAATTCAAATTAACAGTCTTCAGTCCATGAAACCCGAATCCATGATTCTAAGTTTTCGATGACATTGGATTGCTTCGATTGCTGCTCAGTGTTGTGAGTTTGCTCGCTTTCATGGGATTTTGGAATGTCTACGCCGTTCTCATCGAGCCATTCAATATCATGGTGCTCTGAATTTTGAATAATGCACATCAGTTCATTAGCACGACGAGCAGCGACTCTTACAGGTCTAACTTTCCTATCAGTGTGCGTGTTTACTTTTTTATGGATATTTTCGATGTGACGATTTAGTGACTTGACGGAAGCATGATAAAGACCACACGTTTTGCATGTTCGACTTGATAGCCTCAATTTTACCGTCGGACAAAAATAATCGTAGGGCATTTGCAGGAAATCTTTGAGTGAAGCACTTAAGCGTAGAGCTAAATTGACTGGAAGATTAAGAAATTGTCCTCCTTCATCCAAAACCAAGTCATCAACTGTTTGTTTTACTTTTACAGGTGGTGGAAGAAACCTATTGTCTAGTAATCTAAATAGGCCACTTCTTGGACGACAGCATTCTGTATTTCTACATTTTACAATTTGAAGCAAGTATTGGCTCTCACGCACATGTTCTGAATACCATTTAATGTCTGGAAAATCAGGGAGATCTTGTTCACCTGCCCCAACATATTTTGCATTAACATTATAACCATCAATTTCCATTGAACTCCATACTTCAGCTAATACAGTTCCTGCAAATTCGAAATTGGATCTTTCTAAATGTTCATCAATTGTAACGCCACGTTCATCCAAAGACCCAAAATGGTCATGAGGCAATATTAAACCAGCCAGTTCCCGACTAAGAGGACTCATTCTGCGCTCTACTCTGTTAAACGCACTTCTTCCAGGAGCATTGGTAGCTAAAAACAATGTATCGAGATCATGTCGCTTAAAGTGCTGTACAGCAAACCCTATGACTTTTTGATAACGTGGATTTTCAACCGTCATGATTACCACTGGTTTTACTAGTCCATGGTCAGTTTTAGCTAATGATCGAAACTCTTCAAGTTCGAGAAGCGTCTCGAAATTCTGAGCATGAGTATTGGCAGTAGATGAACTATGCTTTCCACTTCGAATAGCGATGTATGTTGGTCCAGAATATCCAACGGCTTGCGGTTGTCCTAGCATATTGGAAGT